ACCAGATTCCAGCGATAGCTCAGTTGCGCCATGGCCACGGTGAATAATGGCCAAAGGTTTTAAGCCAGCAGATGAAACGACAAAAACAATCTTTGTTTTGTTTTTGGTAAAAGCCTTGAGGTATTACAGAAAAACTGAACTGTATAATACAAGTCTTGAAGAGAATGTTTGCAAAAAAAATCATGAATTTATCTCTGAAATGCATACAGAAAACATATATGGTGCATCCCCTTATATATATAAAACTGGTAGAATTTGAATATATATTAGGCATAAACATATTCCATATCAAATAATATCCAAAAGCATATAAATGGAATATAATTATGCAAATATATGCAATTTTGAGGCATCTCTAATAAGGCTTAGAAAACTCATAAAAGTACCGTTCACCGGGATTGAGCGGCTGATAACGTGTTGTAATGTTGTTGTTTGTGCCCGTTGGCCTATAGCTCCTAACCGGTGAGTTTCAGGATTGAATCAACAATAAGAAGTAATAGACAAAGAGAAGGGAGTGATATGATTTCATTTCTATGGCTTCCTCTTACAAAAGGATTACACACATATATAATATAGAATAATAATGACATACATAATGAGACATTAATATGTCTGTTACAAACGTTACAAAATAATGGCCACCATTAATATTTAATTACAACAGTTATGTTTTTAATTAATTTTAATGAAATTTTGGATTTAGTTCTTTATTATTAATTACATTTAATCTTCATGAAATTTAAAAGCTAAAAGGTAAATTATTGTCTCTTAATATATTTCTTTTACGACTAATTTCTTCTTTAACTAACACATTTATACAGTACATACAGTTTATGATTTGACTATTGAGCATCATGTTTAAATTTGGGTACTAGAAAAATGTGATTATCATATTTTAATTTTAACGATAATTAACAAGATAGTAATATATGTGGATAAGATGAAATTAGTAATTACATATAAAAATAAGTTGAAAATTTCAGCCGAAGGTATAAGTCAATGTTTATACTTGTAATTGGTGGTCTTACAAGATGACATAACACTTTAAAAAAAAATAAAAAAATTAAACTGCGATATGAATTGCAAGCTTGCAAGTATGATATAGTATAGTCATATAGACTTGACTCTGTCAAATGTGGCAGGATGAACCCAATTATTTTTAAAATAAAATTTATTGTTATTATATTATGTGTTAGGAGTAAATAAAAATTGTTTTTTAAATTTTTAAATTTTTCATATTTTTTTTAATGTTTAATAGCACTTTAGGTGTAGTTTTTTTAATATATAAATTTTATGTTTTAATTCTAAACTTAATATTATTAATAAATTAAATTATAAATATTTTTAGTTTCAATCATCTCCCGTTAATGGAATCAAACACATAAAATGATACAAAAGAAGTAAGAAGTAATTTACAAATAATAATATGAAAATGAAATTTATTTTTAAAATAAAAGAGTATTTGGAGATAAACAAAACCTAAATACGGAGTAACATTACTTTTATTGGTGTAATAATTTGAGCATATGGCTGACGTATATTTGTTCATAATCTTCCGTACACTTTTGCTTCCATGTGCCTAATTCTAAATTGAGCAAGTACCAATACTAATAAATTGATACTTTAAAATAATGACCAGGGATCGAGTCTTACCAGCGGCAGTGTGGGAGCAACCTCTCAAAGTGGGTGGTTTCTTGTGCGCAGTGAACATCGGTCTAGCCTCTATGGTTCATGTTCAGTTGAGTCACCATGATTTACATCCTCCCAAATGCTCTGTCGGGCCGGGGTGTGGGGGGCCCTTAGGGTTGGGGTTCAGTCTTTTGGAATAATGATAATTTTGATACAGATATTTAATCACTATCAATTTTTATCGAGAAAATTACCGATTTGGTCCCTCGACTATGAGGATTTCATCAATTTGGTCCTCGACTACCGAAATTACTCAATTTGGTCCTCGACTATGACATTTTTACCTGATTTGGTCCTAAGTGTTATTTGCAAGTCAAACCTAAAGGACAATTTTGAGATTTAAAAAAAGTATCTTCCTTCTTCTTCCCTAAATCTAAGTCGTTTGTTTTATATAGATAGGTTATTTGTTTTCAATAGCAGTTGCAGCTTCAATATGCAACCAAAGTGCCATGAATCATTTTCATCCAGCTATAATAATCGAATGATGTTCAAAAATTTGCTGCCTTGTGCCAACATCATTTTCATCCAGCTATAAGCATCTCCATTTTTGAATATCATTCGATTCTTATAGCTGGATGAAGATGATTCACTGCACTTTGGTTGCATATTGAAGCTGCGACTGCTATCGAAAACAAATAACCTATCTATATAAAACAAACGACTTAGATTTAGGGAATAAGAAGGAAGATACTTTTTTTAAATCCCAAAATTGCCTTTTAGATTTGACCTGCAAATAACACTTAGGACCAAATCAGGTAAAAATGTCATAGTCGATGACCAAATTGAGTAATTTTGGTAGTCGAAGACCAAATTGGTGAAATTCTTATAGTCGATGGACCAAATCGGTAATTTTCTCAATTTTTATCCATAATTATTATTTTTGTACCAAAATTGATCATACCAGTCACCCCTCCAGTTATAACATGTCTAAATGTATAATTTATAAAGATATTTTTATCTATTCATATATAATATGTTGATTCCATTAATGTATGAACACACGTCCAAAATATACTCCATAATTGCAACAACTTCAGTCTAGGAATAAGGATGATTAAATAAACAAAATATGCTAATCAAAATTTGTCTTTTTATTGTATTAAATTAATATTAAAAAATGTCACTAGGCATAATTAATTGATTAACAATTCTTGATTATGTTATCGTGATAATGGAGTACAAAGGCCTTGACATTTTTACAAATTACACAATCTGGCATGTTTTAGCCGGAGAGGTGATTGACATTATCAATTTTGACACAAAATATTAGTCGTGGATGAAAACATGTAATGGTTAAACATGTGGACAAAAACTGAAATTTTAGTAATACCAATTTGACCAAAATTGATAATTGCTCTTCTATACTTGACCTCACATTATCATCGTTTTACAAAATTGCCCCTCTATTCCAAAATGGGAAAAAAAAGGAAGAGGAAAAATCAGTAGGATAGTTTCACACTTTCACAGACCTCTCCATGGTAAATCTCTATAAAAACAGGCATTCAATTTTTTTTTTTTTTTTTATTTATCAATACGATTTTAATTATGACAAAGAAAGATTTGACATTTTTATTTAAAAATAATTTCATAATATATACAATTATTTTTAAAATAATTTGTAGGGACTGAGTGAATTTTGATAGATCAGGCACACTCGGTCTGTCATATGAAAATGAAAGGAGAAACACCATTGTTTGTATTTCTCTTTTCTTTTCTAGTTTACTGGATTTCATAAGCTACTGAATTAGAGCAAGATTTCAGTCAAAATTGATGCAAAATAGCATTAGAACATAATTGATTTTTATTGATAAACAATGGCTTTCCTCTCATTGTTCATGGACAAAATCATAATAAATAGGGAAAATTGTAATTTATACTCATCACAAATATTTCAATTATCAATGTCACCTCTGAATTATTAGTGGTGTAAATGTTGTCCCTCAATTGTTAGCCATCACAAGTAAACTACAATCTGATTAATCAATTGACTAACAAACACAACATTGAAAGTAAAGGTAAGTATACAAATCACATTATGCAAAGTTGCAAATGAAGGACTTCAACATTATTGTCCTTATTACATATATCATGGCAACAATTTCACCATATATTTGATATGTTAACAATAATTTATTCCCTTGTAGAAAGCACCCGCATTGGAAAATGTCATCAGTCATCATGTAGAAGATATTTTTTAACCAAATGAGTCGTTTCCAAAAAAAAAAAAAAAAACAAAATGAGAATAAAACAATTTACGTAGGGCCACCAAGGCACCAACCCATCCATTTCAAATTTCACTTCCAAATGAGTCGTTTCCAAAAAAACAAAACAAAATGAGAATAAAACAATTTACGTGGGGCCACCAAGGCACCAACCCATCCATTTCAAATTTCACTCTCCCTCCAAGAAAGCGCTTGCATTGGAAAATGTCATCAGTTATCATGTAGAAAATATATTTTTTAACCAACTGAGTTGTTTCTAAAAAAAATGAATGAGAATAAAAGAATTTACGTGGGACCACCAACCCATCCATTTCAAATTACACTCTCCCCCGGAGAAAGCGCCCGCATTAGAAAATGTCATCAGTCATTATGTAGAAGATATTTTTTTAACCAAATGAGTTGTTTAAAAAAAAACAAATGATTGAAATGAGAGTAAAACAATATTTTTTTAACCAAATGAGTTGTTTAAAAAAAAAACAAATGATTGAAATGAGAGTAAAACAATTTACGTGGGGCCACCAACTCATTCATTTCAAATTATACTCTCCCTCGGAGAAAGCGCTCGCGATGTAAAATGTCATCAGTCATTATGTAGGAGATATTTTTAACCAAATGAGTTGTTTCAAAAAAAAAAAAAAAAAAAAGAGTAAAACAATTTACATGGGGCGGCCACCAACTCATCCATTTCAAATTATATTCTCCCTCGGAGAAAGCGCCCACCTTGTAAAATGTCATTGGTCATCATGTAGAAGATATTTTTAACGAAATGAGTTGTTTCCAAAAAAAAAAAAAAAAAAACAAATGAGAATAAAACAATTTACGTGGATCCTCCAACCCATCCATTTCAAATTACACTCTCCATCCGAGAAAACGCCCCCATTAGGAAATGTCATCAGTCATTTTGTAGAAAATATTTTTAACTAAATGAGTTGTACGTTTCTATAAAAAAAAAATTTAAATTTATTATTTATATATGTGTTTTTAAATATATATATATATATATATATATATATATATATATATATATATATATATATATATATATATATATATATATATATATATATATATATATATATATGTCAAAGGGCTTTCATGAATTTTATCTTAAATCTAAACATAGACTCATAGAGTAACACAAATTTAAGATTTTCTCTGTAATGGAAGACAGGAATGAATCAAAGGTGAATGAGGCAATGAGCACACCAAATTCTTGCATGAAAAGGCTCCAAGGCAAAGTTGTGATAGTCACTGGCGGTGCTAGCGGCATCGGTGAAGCGACAGCTCGGCTTTTTGCTGATCACGGCACACGAGCCGTCGTCATCGCCGACATCCAGGACGAGAAGGGCGTCGCCGTGGCGGAGGCCATCGGCCTCGACAAGTGCAGTTTCGTAAAGTGCGACATTAGCGACGAGGAGCAAGTGAAGGCCATGGTAGATTGGACGGTCCAAAAGTACGGCCGGCTAGACGTCATGTTCAGCAACGCCGGCACGCCGTGCCGCTCCGCCCAGAAGGTCCTCGACCTCGACTTCTCCGACTTCGACCGGGTTTTCCGCATCAACGTGCGAGGCATGGCGGTTTGCGTCAAGCACGCGGCGCGTGCGATGGTGGAGGGGCGCGTGAGGGGGAACATCATCTGCACGGCCAGCGCGGCTGCCACGCGCGGATGCATGCGGCTGACGGACTACGTCATGTCGAAGCACGCCGTTCTTGGGCTGGTCCGGGCGGCGAGCCAGCAACTGGGGGCCCACGGGATCAGGGTCAACTCTGTGTCGCCGGGGGCGATTCCAACTCCGATGATTTCTGCCAATCTTGAAGAGGCTTCGAGCTACGTGGAAAAAAATTATGGACCGCTGACCACCTTGAAAGGAATAACGTCAGACGTGAAGCACGTGGCTAACGCCGTCCTGTTTCTGGCTTCCGACGACTCGACGTTTATCACCGGCCATGATTTGCCGGTGGACGGTGGTCTGATTTCTCTAGCGAACCCGCAGTAGTTGAGATAACCATTTCTTGTTCTATACAAGTAAGTGAATGGCCTAAAAATAATGATTCTATTTTTCTAAAAACTATGCATGCAATGCATGGGTTCTTTAATTTGTTTAGTTTTGATTTTAATAAACTAAAGAGGGAAGACCCAACACCTCTTATAACTATGCTGCGGCTGCAGCTATTCTTGTTGTGTTTGAATTTGGACTTAATATTTGATTTGAATCTGATCTAGAATATTATTGTGAAAGATTTATGATATGATTGTGATTAGTTTGTCTTTCATCTTAATGAATTTTTTAAGTTAATTAATGGACGCACTATTCTCTATTGACTCATCTCAAGCTCTGTGTCACATTACAACTTATAGTGAAAATAGTCAAGAAACTTTAAAGGACATATCGGTACTATATGGAGTAGTAGCTCCGTATCTGACTAGTATTAATATTATTGAGAAATCAAGTTGGTGAAAATTTGTGTAATAAGGAGGATTAACTCAAATTGTATGTCTTTATTTTTTCAGAAAATTGTTTACATGATTCATGTTTAAATATGTTTTAGTCCTAGTTTAGTAATTCATTGAATCTGAGAGAGTGTAAAAGCTATGAGCTGTTCTTTGGTGAAAAAGTATTTTTGGACGTGACCTCACAAAGCAGGAGGTATTCTCCAATTGGCCGGGTTAAAAATACCTGGGCATTTTTACTTTATTTTTTTTAGTATCGGTATGTTGTTAATTCTATAAACTGATTGTAATAGCTCCAAGAGTAACAACTCGTACTGATACTCTCTAGAAGTTATTATATATATCATACAAGTCTACATTCATATATTATAAGTTTTCAATAATTAAAATATTTAATATATTTTTAATAAAGAAGAAGAAGAAAAGAGCGCTTCAATAGTTAAACACAATTTTGTTATTGTGGTGGTCTGTTTTGCAACGGTTGTAAAATTTACAAGCATTGTGAAACACTTAGGACTAAATCTTTTTAAAAAATGACATGGAAAGTGTCATGTCATATTGAAAGAGGAGACATTTGTAATGATAAACATGGTTTAAAAATCACAACTCCAATTACAATAAACTCAACATTTATACTATTGGAAAACCCAAACAAAATGCCCTCCAATTAGCTAAAATGCTCCTTCGATTCTCAAAATCATTTTAGTATTCAAAATCAACTTCTTTAATCGAATAACAAAACAACATTATTTTGCTACACAATTTATCTTCTATTCTATCACTTACTTAAACAATGTGGTTTATATGAAGAAGTGAAGAACTTATTTTCTATTGTACAAATGCACAAACCTAATGTACATTGCTTCACAAGCTAGCTTTATAACATGCTCATTTTTGTGTTCAAGAAATTTGGTGAAAGGTGTGGATATTGAAATTTTGAGACATGTTAGCTTATATATAGTTGGGCCAATTAATTTGTCAAAATAATAAATCGGCTTGTCAATTATATAATTTAAATACCAAGTGGCTTGTGGTCCATTAGTATCGGATTGCTCCCCTATGTGGGAGGTCTAGGTTTCAAGCCTTGTTGTAGGCGTAGTTTATATGGGTATCCCCCTTTCTTTGTAATAAAAAAAAATTATATAATTTAAATGGTCTATATATTATAATTTTGACACATGGTTTATAATTTATTTTATATGAAATAACTTAGTAAAAAGTATTTAAACATTTGGATAATGTGACTAAGTTAAATGATCCAAACGTGTTTGAATTTGAAATTTAAGATGTTTTGAATTCAAAAGTTCAAAAGTAAGGTATGGAAGATGTTTTCTCTACTATAAATAAAGGTTTCAATTTAAAGTGAAGGTGCGACAATAAATGATTCAACTATTCAAAACTTTAAGTTTTCAAGTATTCAAGTTTCAAGTGTTCAAGTTTCAAGTGTTGAAGCATTTAAGTTTTTCAAGTATCGAGTTTCAAGTATTCAAGTTTCAAGTGTTGAAGCATTTAAATTTTTCAAGTATCGAGTTTCAAGTATTCAAGTTTCAAGTGTTCAAGTTTCAAGTGTTGAAGCATTTAAGTTTTTCATGTATCGAGTTTCAAGTATTTAGAGGTTAAGTACTCAACTTCAAGTATTTCAAGTATTAAATCTTAAGTATTCAAAATCCAAGCAATTCAAGTACCACGTTGGTTTCGCTTAAACCAAATTTATTCGTATCAAAGTCTTTCAAGTATTTCAAAGTTTTTTCAAGTTCAAGTATTTGTTCATATATAATATCATTATTATTAATACTGATTAGGAAAATTAACTATGAAACTATAAGATTTTTTAAATAATTTATTTGGTATAACCAGATTATTGGTCCTTTATACATCAAAATGACTACCTGATGTAAATTAAAATTTAAAAACCTAATTGATTTTTCGTGGATTGCTTATTTCAACATTTTCCTTTATCTTTCTAAAATTTAAAAATAATGGGGATGTTTGGTAAATAATTGTTAGCTAATTGAGTTAATAAGTTTGATTAGTTGATAGAATTAGTTAATTGTAGAAAGATGTTTGATAAATTAACTGTTAGTTGATAGCTAATTACATAAAAAATAATTTTATTAAAAAGTTAATTGAAAAAACTATTTTGAATAGCTTTTTGAATTTTAATGTTTTGGAGCAATAAACTGTTACAAAAAGTTAATTAATCAAACACTTATATTGGTTGTTTAACAAAGTCAAATACTCCGTAACTAATAGTGATCAAACAAGCTAAAATTGACTGATAAACTAACTATTTTACTAAATAGTGCTAATGTTAAAGTTTTAGAAGTCGAACAACCCATGCTTAGTTTTTTTTTTTTTTTTTTTTTTTTTTTTTTTTGGTGTTTTTTTTTTTTTTGTTTTTGTTTTTGTTTTTGTTTTTGTTTTTGAATGCTATTGACAATATTACATTGTAGTATCTGTTCAAACATACTTTCTCAATCTAATGAAGCACAAAGAGTCAACAACGTCTCCACTAAGGCTCGATCTCATGACCTCTCACATGATAGAGGTCACTACATCCCATGTTTAGTTTTGTTAAAAAGAAAAAGAAAAATATCTAAAAACTAATAAGTGTCAATGAAAGTCATACCATTCATTTATGTTCATATTTCTGTTACATTTTTTTTGTATACATTATGCTATAAAAGTTGTACTATATATTATTTTGGACAAACATACCCTTATCGCTATAACTTCCGATATCTTTTTCACTATTATTACCATGCACATACATCCACCATATATTTTGTTGTATTCTTCAATAATAATAATATATACGCATTATATATTGGAGTTATATGTTAGTTATTTTATAAAATATAAATATCAAATTTATAAAAATATTTTAAATTATTGTTTTTATTTACAATAATATAAATATATAAAATATAAATAAATTTACGATTTTAATATAAAGTATTAATATTGGACATCTATATAAAATACAGGTAGTATATATACATGTGGAGAAAATGTTACAAACACGGCAAATTATGCTGTGCATTCGTATGCACCATGCATGGTGCATACGGATGCAAAAACGACGTCGTTTTATTAAAAACGCGCGTCTCTCATTAAAAAAAATTTCAGGTTCGATTCCCAGCAAGAACATATGAACTAAAATTTCAGAATCGATGAACTATAATTCCAGAATTAATGAACTAAAATTCCAGAATCTATGAACTAAAATTTCGGAATCGATGAACTATAATTCCAGAATCGATGAACTATAATTCCAGAATCAATGAACTAAAATTTCATAATCTATGAACTAAAATTCCATAATAAATGAACAAGATAATATTGTTGCTGAAACTTGATTTTTTTTTTTTTTTTTTTTTTTATGGGAGACGTTCGTTTTTTAATAAAACGACGTCGTTCGGATGCAGATCATAACTACTCTACAAACACGTATCACGTATGCTTTGGCAAGGAATTCGGCGCCCTCCCTCGCAAGCCCCACCCCAATTCTACGGAGAAAAATCAAATATTTACTGAAACGACGAGGAAATTTTCGGTATTCTGGTACCATGGTATTCTTCGATCCTCTAATTTTCATATAATTGTTTGAAGTAATAGATATGGTGGATAATGTTGGGTTGTTCTTCAGATTAAGAAATTTTGTTTCTTTCTTCATCTATTTATCATCTTTGTATGTTTAGTGATTCATGGAGCTAAAAATTGCTTAGTTGCTTCCATTAATTTGTAGTTTTTACTTTTTTTTTTTTTTTTTTTTTTTTTTTTTTTTTTTTTTTCTGAATTTTCATTATAGTACTTCCTATTATTTTTTTTTTTATCTTCTTTTACCTCACTCAGAAAATAAGCTGCTAATTTGTAGATGAACATAGAGGAAATTCATAACTAAAGTTTAATTTTTTGCTTTGCATTCCATAGCCACTAGTGACTGCCTGTTTATACAACCAGGTTATTGTGTATGAATGCCTTCATTGTTTCACTGCTTAGCTTGTCTTGAGTGCTTAGTGGTCAAGCTCCTCTTGAATCGTTATTGGCTTTGAGAAGGTCTATAAAGTAGATCACTCATAGAAAGTGAATACCAAAGATAGGCTGAAGATTTTAATGGTGGAGGGGGGTGAAACTTTAATGTTTTAAGAACAGTAGCTTTTAAAAACTTTAGGTTTTGGAAGATGGATTAAATTTTCAATGCCCTAAATTTTCAATACTTTCAATATTAGTTTCACACCAACTTATGGAATGTGTTTCTGACTATTCTTTACTTTCAATACTTTCTCATCAGTGGACTTTCTAGCAGTATAAGAATCCATCTGAGGTGTTTTACCTATCATGTTTATTATTCAATGGTTAAACCAACTTTTCTTTCTTTGTTTATTTTTATCTTTTACATTTTCTTATGATTTTTTTTTTTTTATATAAATTGTCTTGTTATGTGTTATAGAACTTTTGATGTTGTTTCTAAGTATATAGATTTTATTTAATTGTGCTAAATTAAGCGATACAACAAATTGAATTGTGAATAGCTTAAAGTAAACTCTTGTTAGACCTGTTGCCGTTAGAAATTTCTCATTGTTTTTGGTAAAGAAGAACTTAGCAATGCCCTCTTTTATGACAGGAAAAGGAAAGTACATTTGATCACCGATTTCAGCGCACTGATCAGTGGATGCCTGTTTATTCCTGGTTGGAGTCACTTGATGCAGATGAGGTGGTAAAATCTAAAGACATTTTGGAATGGCTTACTGAGAATGCGGAAATCAGAGAACAGTTATCCTCGAGGCATTCACGTTACCATTTGATGCATTACATTAAAAAGTGTCATGTGAAAATACTAAAGAGAAAGGGGAAGAAGGTACTTTTAAGATTTAAAATATGCTTTCAAGTAATTCCACTGTTGCTTTGGCTTTATTCCAGTCCCTCTCCAAGGTGCTGGAGGTGAAGATGCACGTTTAGTCAATTGTCACCTGGTTGGATTATCTGACTGTACCATTCTTTCTTATAAGATCTATTTGATTTCATAATTCTGAGGTTGTGGGGTCTTTAATCTTCAAGCATCTGATGTACCTGATAAAAATGAGTTTCCAAGAATGTAGAGAGTTAGTATTGCCAACTTGTAGCTCCAATTGCCAATTTTTCTTGAGCAATTTGTGTGTTAACCTAAATTGCATTAGAGGCTGTTTTTTGTTTTGTTTTTGTTTTTTTTTGTTTTTTTTTTCTGTGTTTATTTCACTTAGACCCCCCTGAGGTTTGGTCCAGTAACACTTGAGTGTCCATCTATTTCAAGAATTCCACTTGCAACCCTATCAACACTCGAAAAGTGTTTTCTCCTTTTTCCCATAGAAAAATCTTCCATAATCTCTGGTAATTGAAATTTTAGGAGTGTAGTGGAAACTAATTATCTAATATGGACCATTGTGAGATTGAGGATAAAATCAGTGGGTTCAGATGTAATTAATAAATGGATTAAGAGGTCCAGTATTCATGCCAGGGGTCTAACTTCTAAGTGGAAGCATATTATCTTTTATGATCTCATTTTTATTCCAGTATGTGTAAGTGTGAAACTCTCATAGTTATGGAATTTCACACTGTTTTTAGTTTTTTACTATGTTCCTCTAATTAATAATCCTTCATGATTATCAAGCTATCCATGACAGTTAATGCATTTGCAGTCTATCAATATAGTTGCATTGCATGTTTTTGATGCAGTACTTTAGAACACCGTATGCCCTGTTAGAACTAAACAAGTTATATGCATTACTACATTTTTATTTCATTTGCAGGTATTGACAGTCAGTAGCAGTGTGCGCTCAGCAAAATTTCTTGACAGTAGGGAAGAGAAACAGCCTGCTATGATCCAGTGTGCTGGTAATCTCTTTTACTTCATGGTTTGCACTGCATTGTGTATCATAATTTGATGAAATTATCGTTCCAGTGCCAATATGAAAATGTTGTGTTAAAATTTTCTTAGATTATTTTTTTATTGGTACAGAAAGTGGCACCTTGAAGAGACTAGCTTGAATAAGTTTTTGACAATAGTACAGAAAAAATAAGTATTTCTCAAGAAAAGAAGTGACAAGAGTCAACAAAAAGGCCATAGCTAGTTGAAGTCCCGAAATAACCTAAGTGAGGAAGAGGGAGGGGTCGGGGGTGGGTAAATTAGGATATTTTAGAATATATACCTTAATTGATGAGGGAATATGGATAATATTTTTCTTTGTTTCACTTTTTTGCACTTAAGATTGAGTAATGTGAGGATATCAATCAAGCAATAGCATACAGGCACAATAAGCAAATAGTTAGTAACGTGCAAGCAATAGAAGACACCCTAATTTCATAGTGGTTTGGCCTTCTTGCCTATATGCATTACCTAGAGACTCAGAATTTTGCATTCCTCTATCTTCCTGCCCTCTTCAAGGGTTGTGGGGGCCAGAACCAAATTCAACAAACATTCCTTTCTTGATGGGATACACCCAAGAGGCACCTCTGCCTTAAAATTCGAGTGGTGGCCTGATTTCTTCAGCCACTGTTCAATATTCAAATGGCTGGTCATTCAAGAATGCCCTGCTAGCTCAAGCAATGCATCCCATCAGCCAAGAGGATGTTCCATAGTCATAAATCTTTAGTGTGTACCAAGAGGTTATCTTTTTAAGTTCCTCTTTGTAATTTCCTCCCTTGTAATGTCCTCTTTATTATCAATAAATGCATTTTTTTTAAACCTTTGTTTGCCAAACACAACTGATTTATACTTAGTTTGCTTCTGTTTCATAAAGGTTGTGTAAGGCTGGTCTAGCAAGCCTTGGGGGGAAGGTTGGAAAATCAGCCCATATCTGTTATAACCAACCACAAATTTATGGTGGGATTAACCTATCCCTTTACTCCAATCAATACAACTTTCCTTGAGCACAAGGATTTAAGATACATTTGCAAATATCTTCAATTGAAGCTCTATAGATTCAGCTTGGATTGATAAGGAGTTAAGCTCAAAAGAGACTCAATCTAATTGTCAGAAAAATGATAGGAAAAGAAAAGTTTGAGTGTGATGCTTTTTATGCAAATGCAATATAAAGAAGCTCTGAAAAGGTATTCAGAATAAATGCAGCAGCTTCTTAGCAATGAATAAGAAAGAAGAAGATTTAAATGCTTTGAGTGTTTAGGATGAAAAAGAGTGGATTAGTGTTTGGCCATTAGATCTCTTTAAGGTTAAATCTTCTGACTTTGAAAGTTAGGTGGTGATGGAATCGTTGTCTGTGGTTATTTTACTGCAGCTAAAGTTATACGAGCTATATGAAATTTCTCGAAGATCATTTTCATTTACAAGGCTAAAGAAGTCATTGCACTATCATTTTCCTTTGTCATATGGAATACTAATTTTCTCTTTCTTTTTGCCCTTTGTCTAACTGTCTACTAATGATATACATTTTACAGGCAATAGTCTAAGCAGCCTACCAAAAGATAGTGAAATCTATAAAACAAAACAAGCTGAAGCTATTCAGAAATATGAACTGTGAGACAATGATCTTATAAAATATTTAAGTATCGGTCTTTCTGGACATGGAATTTATTGCCTAATGTACAGTTTGCTGACTTGATTTTTAACCGGGATTATTTCAGTTTATTGGAGTTCGAGAAACAACTTTTGGGCGCCTTCCCAAGCGAGAAAATGTAATCACGCATGGCTCTCTAGTTTACTTGGGCAGCAATATGGTTTGGCTAATCCTTTATCTTAATGGTGCAATTTTTCTCTGTAAATGTTTTTTCCTGTTAACACCCCCCCCCCCCCCCCCCCCGGGTACTCCCCTAGCATCAGGTTAAGTAAAAAAGAACCCTCTTTAGGAGTGTTGGCAACTTGGATTCTGAAGCTTTTTGTCTCATAATGTGAGGAAATATTTTGTTGATGTTATTGAGGTGCAAATGTGTTGAATTTGGTCTTGCGAGCTATCAACATATATTCTGGGATTTGATGAGAAGTGATAAGTATTGAAGATACTACCCCAATGGCTATTTTGTCAATCATTATATTCTGTATGGATTTCTAATACCAGTTTATTTTTAGAGGGCGTTTGGTACTTTTTCATCAATTAAATTCTTCGAAAAATGTAGTGTTAACTGGAAAATTAATTAACACAAGGCTAAAGCCAGTACACACAAGAGCTCACTTTGGGTATAATCCCAACACTGTCGTCGTGAGGTTTGAATATTGGTTTCTTCTATCAAATATTGCTTACTAAAGCATTGAGCTAAGTATGTGCATGTGTGATTTACTTTCTTTGATATCATGGAATGTGATTCCCATGATCTAAAAGTTTCTTAAGTTAAAAGATTGCACCAAACATGAGAATAATTTTTTCACCTTTTAATTTTTAGAAAAGTTCGAACTTTTTTGGCTACTAAACGCCTTCTTAGTGTAGATGAATTTATATCAAAATATAATAAATTTTGACTTGCATTCAAAATGAACATGTATTAAGATATACTGAGCACTTGTTTTTAAAAGCAAGAGATAATGAATATGTTCATAAACTCATTAAGTGTCGGTTTAGAAACATGCAAAATGACTATCCAAAGTCATTTTTTGATTTTTTTTTTTGTATTTGGATATTCAAAGAAAATAAAGTCAAAGAAAAATATTCATTTTGGTTAATAAAAAAAATGTTTTTATTTGGCAAAATATGTCTAGATTTTTAGTCGGAAGATATTTTTCAAATTCTTTATTTTCTCGTTTTTATCTTTTCTCTCATCTCTTTTCAAGCTAGTTTTTTGATGGAGTTAATACCCAAAATGGTCCTTGACTATAATGATATTTCTCAATTTCGTCCTAAATGACTTTGGTGACCTAATATAGTCCCAGACTTTTGTGTGTTTGCTCAATTTAGTCCTCCATTTGTTATTCCGTCAATTTGGTGTTAAATAGATGGACAATTCAGTATTTCAATATTAGCATCTCTTTACTCATAGACATGCGAAGTGTGAAATCCCTCTTTCTTTTACTAATTACTCCCAAACCCGCGAATATAAAATTTGATTCGCAGGTCTGGAAGTAATTCGTAAAAGAAAGAGGGATTTCACACTTCGCATGGCTGAGGGTAAAGAGAGGCGGCTAATATTGAGATTACTGAATTGTTCCTTTATTTAACACTAATTTGACGAAATAACAAACAGATGACTAAATTCAGCAAAAACACAAAAGTCTGGAATTACATTAGATCACCAAAGTCGTTTAGAACGAAATTAATAAAAATCACTATAGTTGAAAACCATTTTGAGTATTAACTCTTTCGTAATTATAATTACTAGCACCACTACCACCGCCACAACCACATCACCAATACCACCACCATCAATCGCACCGGCCACCACCATGATCACACCACTTATTATTATTGTTATCATTGTTGCTTTAATTTGTTAAGGAGACGTATAAACAATTTTGTTCTGTCATTTAATATATTCTTAGTTCTGTCTTTAGTGCCGAAAGAAAAAAAAAATTAAAAAAAGGGTACTGAGAGCATTAACCGAGGAAGGGACGAATAAGCAAATTAAAGAACATGCATGAACGTACATTCAATTTCATGATATTAATTACAAAAATTACTAAAAAATATACTATCTTTTTAGTAATTTTTTTAAAAATAAAATCCATCTAAATATAATATTCACTGGCGTGGCATATTGGCATAATTAATATATACGGAGTATATAAATTTTAGATAAAGAAATTTATTGAGTATTCATGAGTATAATTAACTGACTGTAATCAGATAGACAAAATCAAAAAGAATTTGCACAACATTAAATGTATAAAAGTGTTGAATACAATAATGGTACATGATTAGAGGGTAAATCTTAGCAGGATCTACCTTTAGAAAAGAAATAATATTGCAAAAATATAATATAATATAATATATTGAAATAATTAATAAATTGATTTGTTTCTTTTTAGTTTGAACAGATCAATTATATATGGACAATTTAGATGATTTATCTCATTCAAATTTTTTACCGACTAAGATAATATAATGTAAGATGTGCTTTACCTAAATTACACATTTGCGTGTGGATTTTTTTTGTAAATCAAAGAGAAACTGTGTGTCATGTATTTGCATTGATTATATTGTTAAATGTGTGTGTATTGATCATGCATGCATGTAACCAGCAGAAGCTAAGCTTTTCCCATTGGGATGCTGCCGAAAGGCTAAATTAAATATGTTATAACTTTAAATGTAATAGGATGAAAACATGCATCAAGTTTTGTAAATATTTTAACATTTAAAAGATATGTAAATAAAAGTAAAAATTGTCTAAAGAGGAAATGACCTTAAAAAAAAAGAGGAAAATTAAGTCTATTGGCCTTTTTTTTTCGTTTGAGTCGGTCAGCTGTAGAAATTGGTTATTGATTTTTTTGTTTTGAATCGATTAACTAGCAACTTAAGCAATTTATATACTTTAGAGCAACCTCAATAGTTGTAGATTTTTGTCGATTTTTTTGTAGGTCATGTAGGAGAGAAGCAATTGAGAAGAGGAAAAAAGGAAAAAAAAAAAAAAAAAAAAAAAAAAAAAGAAGGGAAACAATAAATTCTGACAAAAAAAAAAAAAAAAAAAAAAAAAAGAAAAAGACATTACGCACCTTCTGGGTGAGCAGATTGCTACACACGCGCAGCAATTCGCACAAGTTTTTCCCTTACCCCTAAAAGTGAACCCTATCCAAAAATCATATTTACAGGGAAAACAAAAATTAGCCAAAAACCCCCATTTTCTATTAGATAAAAATCAATTTCTAATTTTTCTTCCTAAAAGTTCGAGCAAAAACTACTATTGTGATTGCTCTTTCTATACCTTCTAGCTTATGCTTTGTGTAATAGTTTTACTTGCTACTTCTTCATCAAGTAATCATCAATAATTATTTTGTCAATTATGTATTTTTTTTAACAATTTTTTTTAATAATGTACAAGAGTATTAACTATTAAGCCACTATTGAAAATAAACATAGTAAAGTAGTAGAAGTATAAAATATAAAAATAATTTAAAGTGAAAAACAATAATGAGCAACTCGCACTTTGCACCTAGTCACCGACACACCATTCGTGGTTTCATGTGTTACTCCATTTGCACTTCGCCACTTTGTCTTTCAATTTGAGAAATGACAAATCAGACAATATCTTTTTACTATTTTATTATGGGCTTTATGCAATAATTACTTATTTATAATTTTGGATTTTGACCAATAAATTATATATATATATATATATATATATATATATATATATATATATATATATATATATATATATATATATATATATATATATATATATATATATATATATATATATATATATATATATATATATAGTTCTTTAATTTTGATGTAGATGTTATATTGTTATTATATTAGTAGTAGCTATTTTAACAAAAGTTTGGTGGAGCCAAATATAATGTACATATTGAGACATATATTTTGTATGTATATACGCACAAATACTTCTTTTCTCCAATTATATATTTCCTATTTATTATTTATTGATCAAATAAATTTATTTTAATAAATATTTTCAATGAAAGTGTTTTTCCATGTTTTCTTTTCTGTAATGTATTGACTAATGCCCATTCAATCTAATTTTTAAAAAATAATTTTGGTCAAATTTACTTATTAGTGATGATTTTATTAACAACTAGTGAGTTGTAGATAATTATTAATGACTTTCTAGCTAAACTGAATTTTTACATATAACTTCGTGATAACTTTATTGATCAACCAAATGTAAAAAGTAATTGTTCACCAATAAAAATGTTGACAAATAAATTTTTGAATTACGTTATAAGTAATGAACTAAAAAAATAGGGGGTAAATAGCTAAAGTGGTCATCTCTTATTTGAGTTATAAGTAATAATAATAAAGAAAGTTATATTGAAATAGAAATTTGCATTTTCTATATTAATGTCGATTATGATCCCATATAAAATAACATCCATTTTTTTTCAATCCCGTAAAAATAATATTTTTTTTTTTATATTACAAAGAAAAGAGGATACCCACATATTCAATCTACGCCTACACCAAGACTTAAACCTTAGACCTTCTACATAAGGCAGCAACTGGATACCAATAAACCACAAGTTCAATCCATTAATATTTTTCTCTCTAAAAATTAATGAAATATTTAAATTTAATTAGTTGGCATACCAAGTGACGCGATATTTTGAATAGATACAATCCTATTTCATATAGTAAAAAGCACAAGAACGCTTTATGTGGTTGATCTTTGAAGCAAAAAATGAGCAATCATAGCAAAAAGAACTCCTTAACAAAATAAATTAAAGACAACCACTCTCCCACTAGCTAAAATATCGAATGCAATCTTACCAAATTGCATTATTAGACAAATATTTTCTTTTATAGTCGTCAAAGCTCAAATCCAAAAACAGTAGAATTGAAAAGTAACAATAATCAACAATTACTATATTTCAAGAAATTGTAGTTTATAGAATATATTAGTTTGGCATACAACTAAAGAAGATGCTTTGACACAAAGAAAGTCTTAGAGATGACTACATCTTTTGAACACTTTGTGAAATGTATATATTCATAGATTTTGTTGCATAAAAAATAAAAGAGTTTTTTTGACTGATTTTTGGTTGCAGAGTCAAGAAATGCTTTCTTTGACAGATACAGCCATTAACCCTACGCAATCAACAATAAATACAAAGCAAAAGCAACCCAATGTTTAGTTGTGAAGTGCTTAATGCAATTTATATCATGGAACATGGTCCACATAGTATTATGGGTCCTGAATCGAAACGACGAGGAGATAAAGAACTCATAAGGTACAAAATTCCATAACACAAGATACAAAAAATCACACCACAAGACACATACATATACACATGTTATATATTTACTT